TGCAAATTGGACCGAACCAAACCAACAACATCACTGCGACTAAAAGGATCACTAACTGGCAGACTTTCCAGAGCATAATGGAAAGCTTCAGCAGGATCCCCCAGCCCCAAACTGAGGACGACCTGGACCCAGCAGCAGAAAGTCTCACCAGGAAAATAAAAAATTTTCTGGCAGCCTCAACAAGCACATCAGTCAAGATTCCTCCTTGGTTAAAAGCCAAAATCAGGGAGAATAACCGGATACGACGCAGAGCCATGCGTATGCAAGACGGGCTTGTTGTCTTTTAAAAACTGCATTCGAATATTTTCACATTGGAACGAAAAAGCCCTCCTCCTTCGGAGTCGGGTTTTTTCGCCACAATATGAAAATAAACTCATGTAGTTTTTAGACAACAAGCTTTCATGCAAAATTATCGGTAATTTTGAAGCACTTGTGCAATTACCCCCGATAATTTCACGTCGTCATGGAATCATAAAAAATATCACTGTCGACCGATTTATTTAATGTGACTGATGTCAAATATATTCTGAAATTTAATTTTTAATATTTAATTCGAGAAATAATATCACTAATTACCCCCGAATAGCCTTAAATTATCGACACCTTAATATTCGGACATGTATTAGGTAGTACGAGTATGACGAGTAGGCTCGGCGTATTAAAGACTACATGTTTGCCCCATTATTAAAATTCTAATATTTGTAAATTTTAGTTAAATTAAATTTGGACAAAAAATTGATTTGTATTCAATATCAATTTCATTCCAATCAACAATGTGGAATCGATTATTAGTAGTTTTAACACATACAATACAATTACAAGTAGTTATTCTGCACCGCTTGTAACGATTGGTGGTTGACTTACTCTGATGACCTCTGTGTTGGTATCTTCTGTCCATTACGATTGTACGTGATATATTTTGTACTGTTTTATTAAATTTTTAAAATTTTTCACCATTGTTGACTTTACGTTGTAGTATTTTGTTTTGTTTTTTTACTAGCTTTGTCCATAAAATTTGTGAATTTTTCCATGGCAATAGGGCATATTTTAATTTGATTTTATTCTAAAAAACAGCTTTCCTACAAGCTGAATAATGTTTCTACACGACTTTCTGAAATAAATTCCAAGCATTAATTTTAATTACTCACGATATTGCGCGAAATCAAAACAAACTTCAGCGAGATGATTCAACTAATTAAAACGAAAATGGATATTGCGAAGTGCTTTGGTGAAACTAGCTTTGCGAGTTGGATATTTTCTGGATACTGCTGAAACAAGACCTCTCAAATTCCCGGAGGGGTTAATTTGGATAATGAGTGTATAGACGGTTTAAGATGTTTACTTGCAAGTTGTTGACAAGCGTAGAAGTATTTAAAAAAATGAAAGGAACGAGTGGGGACTTTTGAACTGGTTTTTGAACTAATGGTAGATTTATTTTAAGTTGTTTACAAGTTATACAACTATCACTCCATAAGTATCCTAAAATACTCTCTTAGATTAAGACGCCCCCAATAATCTGAGATAAACATTTCGCTGTAATTTGTCAAGCAAGAAGCTACTGAAGACGCGAGACAATCGTGCTTGCCAAACGTATGTAATTATATTCCACAGAGGCTGTTGCAAGCGATAGGCGCAAAACTTAAATCTGTTGAATGACTGCATGACTGTATGAGAGCTTGATGCAATCTGTCGCAAACTCAAAATAGAATTCTCATTCCCAATACACTCGTTTCCGATGTGTAATGGGACGATTTCAACATTTAGTGGCATTTTAAGTTTACAAGAACTCCCGCAAGTATTACTTGGTTTGTAATAGCCAGGAAATTGATAGCAGCGTCTATCCGGTATGATCATTTGGAGTTGCTTCAAAAAACAGTAAACTTTATGCATATTAATGGCTCGACATTGTTGTATATCTTTGAATGTTTAAGATCAGATTTTCAAAACTCTCCAACTAATGTAATGTTTACACTTCTGTGCATCAGAGCCGCTTACTTGTTTTATTAAACATAATAAGTTGTACAAGTTGCGAAAGTGGGGCGTTGTCCACGAACCTATAAAAACTTTTTGTAAGGTTTCCTGTGTACAAGCGGGACAACTGACCGATCACTCAAATGATGTGATATGTTTCCAGTTAAAGGCGTTAATTACTGTTATTTGCCTTAAATAAATTCATTAGTGTGATCATCTAAATATTGTTGTGAACGGAGCAGTCGCGGTTATAACCATACCTCGGCAGGCGGATCGGAATGCACTACACAGTCCAGTTTGGCCTCAAGTCCTTCACCCGAATTAACCCAAGATCTCAACACTTTTACTTCAGGTGGATCTGGAAGAAAGTAAAACAAGTTATAATTATGTAACGTACGGAACGTCTGATTTTTGAAATTCTCAATGCATTTATGAAGACTGAACCTTTAACAACAGATTTTGACAGAATTAACTTATTATATGCTTTGCTCTTGCACACTGCACTGAGCGGATTTTACATTGAATTAGTTCTAAATAGGTCAATATTTAAATTCATGTGGCTATAATTTTTGAAGCAATTTGACAACTAAACTAATTATTCTTACATAAAACGTGTAATTTTATTTCTCCAGTAACTGGTTGACCTATCCCGTTCGACGCTGTGCACTGATATATCCCACCATCTTGTCGTCGTACTTCATTTATGTTCAGCATGTAATTTGTTTCCACTTGCAGACCTGATGGAAGCAATCCATCCTGCAATTATAAAGATAAAACATATGGAATAAAACCTTCATCATTTAATGCAAGTGCATTTGAAACAACACTGAATTTGAAATTTGGGAAAGTTACTGACTGAATGCTGGTTAGTTGCGAACCTCACTAAATGACCATCTAGTTGGATAAGCTTAACTTGACATTTTATGATTGCTAAAAATTATAAACCCGTAGGCCGTGTGTTAAAATTTATATAGTAGTTAATTTGTGTGCCGGTAGAAACTTTATATGGATACGAATGTACAGGCCGTCGGGAGGCTTGATTAAGGATGGCAGAGATTGGAACAAATAGGCTGATCCACATAGAACAAAGAATAGAACGGACAATAACCAATACGAAGAATTTTCTAGAGCGGTAAGAGCAGCATGCCGAAGAGCAAAAGAAGTATGGCTGATAGAAAAATATACTGAAATAAAATAACTCCAAGCAAAGTACGATCTGTTCCACATTCACAAAAAAAAAGTACTCAACAATAAAACAATGCAAACAACGCCAGGGTTTACTCAACGGCGCCAACAATAAGATACTGATTGGTGTTCACGAAAAGCTGCAGCGATGGAAAGAGTACGAGCTAGACCTATTTAATGTTATAAGATCCGAACAACCCCCTACCGATCAAAAGCGAAACTCGCCCGAATATTGAGATATAAGAAATGCGCCACGCTATAAAGCTTCAAAAGAACGACAAAGCTGTGGGGCTCGACCAGATGCATGCAGAAACCCTGGTTGATTGCTGAGGCTGACGGAAATGATTGAAACTGTTAACATTTTTGTATAATAACATTTAAAGGACCGGATCAAAGCCAACAGAGTGGTGTAAATCGACAGTTGTCACTTTTCCCAAAAAAATCAAGTATCTCTCACTGCAACGATTTTCACATGATTTCACATTACTCTAAAGCCTGATACACTTAAAGTGTTTCTACGCATCATCCACACGCGCATGTACACCGAATGTGAACATAGGGTGGGTCCGACGCAGTTCGGTTTCAGGGATGCGATGGACACTTGCGAGGTTCTTTTCTCTGAGTTCTGAGTGTCCTTACGCAGAGCTGTAGACACATGAACGTCGATGTATACGTGCATCCTCGACTTTCAAATAGCATTCGACTGCGTATCAGACCAAAAGCCTGCCGAGATCCTTGACTTCGCCGTGGTAGATGTATGCGACCTTCGCATCATTACCCATGTACACTGGCAACAGTGGGCGGAGATCAGAATTGAGAAAGATACATCCAATCAGATTTCTATTAGGAGGGGCGTCAGGCAGGGATATGTGTTTTCGCCGCTTCTCTTCAATATATACTCCCAGTCTACGTTCAGCGAGGCACTCGATGACTCGATTGACAACATCAGGATCAACGGCGCCCTCGTCAGTAACTTTCGTTACGCAGATGACACTGTCATTATGGCTAGTAGTTCTCTGCACGTTCAGAACCTTATAGATCGAGTAGCAGTCAACGGCATACAACATGATTTGATCTTGTTTCAATATATATATCTCAAAGCCGCTAATAATTGTTTGCAAAAGAGCCAAAACGTGCCAACATACGAATCAACAGCATTTCGGTAGAACAAGTAATATCCATAAAATATCTTTGGTCTCTTATTAATGGAAGAAGTGACTCAATGAAAAGATCCTGCAACGAATTTAGCAGGATCGGGGCACATTCGTGGCGATGAGGCGCCTCTGTAGCAGATAGATAGATTTACCAAGATAGTCGCTTCCTGACAATGCATCGCCTTCCACCCTTGATATTTTCCTGTAAAGCTCCTCGTACAATGGGTGCTGGAGAGAAGAACTTTTGTTTCGTATATATACCAAGAGTTCGCGGTCTTCCAGTCTAGCAATTTTGAGCCCATCCTGATTTCTTACACAGCTCGTCAACGGTATTTTTGGCAACTGTTTCAGTGTTCACGTCGCGAATGTTTCAATTTGATTGATAGACGTAACTTTAAGCGTCCACGTTTCCGCTCCGTACTGGAGAATAAACCGGATATCACATTCAATCTAAAACAACTCTCGCCGCGTCTATCCTAGACCTGCTTTCAAGTTCTGAGTATTATTGGGTGTTTACAATACGTACCAAGTATTTTAACTTATTAACCAATTCTGATTCCTCCATGGAGTTCAAGGTATTCAGTAGGCAATATTTCTCGGGAAATGACCATAATTTTAGTTGATTTGATTGACAATCATGTTAATTTTTGAGGCATATCTGTTTGCTCGCTTCGTTAACAGCATTCAAAAGGGTTTGCACATCGTTGGCATTATCGCCTATTATGGCGGTGTCGTGAGCATAGCGTGTTATTTATCGGAATACCATTAACTTCAATATTCGTATATTTTTTCCGAAATTCATCTGCGAAATCTATGTGCACATAGATATTAAACATCATTGTGAATAGGATGCATCTCTGCCAAGTGACTTTCATATTTTAAATTCCTCTCTGTCTCTCGCTTTCGCTGTCTGGAACTAGTACAGATTGGCAACGAGTGGTACATTTTTATCATACAATCCCCGGCCTCTAAGATGGCGTCTCTAGTTCCATACCCTTTCTAGAATCCGAAGTAACCCGCTGTGCTCCTCACATTTTCTATAGTCTCTTGTGTGCAAGACTCTAAAAAGCAGGAATAGCAAATGGCTCACTTTCGACCTTGGCATGTTGGGCGGAGCCAGTACCAGGCTTCCCAGTGCTTTAGATATAATTAAACAATTTTACCAACATTTTCATGTTTTAACCACTTACCAAGTGAAACGCTTCTGACGGCATCTTGTCTGGTCCTAGAGATTTATCAATTTTACATTTTTTGCATTTTATTGCATATATAAGGTGAGTTGCTATTTGAAAGTGGTTTTTACGGTCACCGATAATTAAGTACGTTAGTGCTAAAGATTTTACACGTTCCTAGAAGCGTCTCAGGTTCTAGCACTATTTCATCTTTTATATTTATTTATTTACTTAAGGTTTGAATTCATCGTTAAATTTAAAAACATACACATTTGGTTAGCCAGAGTTCAGTCTCCCCGAGAGCGCTAAGCGCTCGCAGGAGAAAAAAACATATCCTCAGTGTCTCCCAACTGATTACAAGATCTCATGATTTTTAGAAGGGGTGAATACTTCGACACGTCGATCCTACACTTTGGAAGATAAAAGCTATTAGAGCGTCTTGAGGTCATCGAGGGAACAAGGAACGTAAGTTCACCAAGAATGATCAGACAATTGATGGAGTCACCAATCGAACCACGCAAGAAACGAAGTTCAACCAGTGCATGTCGATCCTGAAGAGATGCGAACAAATGCTTTGGAAGAAGTTCAGAATGAAAATATTCAATAGGTGGGTAAATCCCATGTGTCCGATAATGTACAGGGGATTCAAAATTGGCGTCATTCCTCTGGAGGTGTTGTCTGTCGCTGTTATAGGAGTACAGAAAAAATAGTAAAATAAATTAATTGTTATTAAAAACTGAGAAATTTGCAAAAAACTATATCAGAAATACGGCCGCAATATTTTTTAAAGTAATCTGCCTAATTAACATTGCGCAAATACTTGTTGCTTAGTAATTATTTAAAACTCCGGCAACCATGGAATTATACAAACTGACAGTAAGATAAACAAGGATAAACAGTAAATTCAACAAGACTTGTTGACGAAATGTCAACCGGTTCTCATAACCTCGAATATCGGTGTTTAAAAATAAACCATACAACACCAAACATTTCAATGGTTAACTCCAAACAAGCTAGTGCCTGTGTAATCTCCTTATTATCTACTCTTATCAAGCAGCTTCCCGTATTCAGTTAATTAACTCCTGCTCGATTTGTATCTCCTTGTGCTGTTTGTATCGTACAAACGTGGTAGAAACGTAGCCGTTCCTCGGTATTTATTTGGTGCTTCAGAAAGTTATTGTGCTCTGAGTGCCCCTGGAAAGCCCTGATTCGGTTAGGTCCAATACTTGTACCTCTGTGCCTGGAACCCAAACATCTGTTGCCGTCCACTATCTTCCTGGAACCACTCTCCTCGGTCTTTGTTGGCGTGAGTTCTTTCAGCTTCTGCTATGTTACTGTAGCATTTCCCCTGAACTAATCGCATATCCGCAAATTCGTGAAAGGAAATTCA